TTGTGCCTGATTATTTAAACCTTAGTTTTTATATAAAAATGTGTCCCGTATAATCTTCTATCGATTGCTGAAAACTACAGGTCTCTAACTTGTTTCTATCGCAAGTTATTCAAAAAACATTCGAGTGCACTGACTTCTGGCGCCGATATTAGTTTAAGACTTTAATAGAGACTGATAGAAGGATTTAGGCATGAATACGTTTATGTGACTGATCTTTATCTTCACCCACACCCAAAAAGAGAGTCACAACCACACTTCATAGAACCATGTTTATTCGTCTCGTCTTATTATCAATTTGAAAACTGATCTTTTTCGCGTTGCTAGTAAATTTTGTAACGAAATAAATTTTACTGTTGTTTTTGTGATTTTTTTTCAGAACAGCTAGGAAAAATATTCTCGCCGTCTGAATCTGATGAAGAAAATGAAGGAACTCAATTCAAATGCTGTCGATTTATTAGACGAACAATACGTAGTGGCTTTTTTGCTTCTTAAAAATACTATTGTCATCTCAATAAATCAAAAAGAAGGAAATTTTTATGGATTCATAGTAATTACGGGAAAAAGAAAATAAATCGTACACAAAACTTATTTAAACAACAAGAAAGAATTGCAATAACACCCTTGAGAGTGTATTCTGCACACGAAGATGTAAACATCACATTCTGAGTATGAAACAGATTACATCTGTATTTTTCGTAAACTAACGATATTTTGTATCAAAAATTAGATATGGGCCTCGAGCGCGGATGGGTGTGGGTGTGAGTGTAATACGGTTAACAACCGCATCAAATCCAAACTAACACCTACACCCACACCTAAAGCCATTTCACTCTTAACATCCAGCAGCAACATCCAACGCTCCACACCAACATCCCACACTCACACTCATATTCCACACACCCACAGCTCATACCTACATCCGCATTGTGAAACGGATAATTAAGTAAATTGGTATTGTTTCCCCATATGGTAATGACATCAGCAATAGTTATACCGGTCTACTCATCAACCAAAAAAATAAAAATAAAATATGATGAGAGTATAGGTGTAGCTGATGAAAAAAAGAAGATCAAAATTTACACCCACACCCTCAAGTTTTCAGTTATGTGACATCCATTTATTAGGATAAAAAGTCTAATAAAGTCAATTTCACCTTATTCGTCAAATGTTTGATATTTTCTCAGAATTTGTTGACTGTTCGATTTATTCAATGGCTGTAGCTGATGGTTACTTTCAATTTCCAACCATCCATAAAGTTCATAATCGTCATTAATAAAGTAACCGTCCTCATGTGTAAAAATGAGTGGCGCTCGACGAGCATAGTCAGTAGACCAATAATGAAATCCACGATTTTGTTCAGCAAGATAGACATACTTTCGATCAACATTGGTAATAACAGCAATATGTCCAGCGCGCATTCGTCGATTACGGGGATAGATCAAAAATGAATCCTTTTGTGGTTTTTTCTTTGAACCATTTGGATGAGGTATTAATTGAAACTTTTTACCGTCAGTGACGCGTTCAACATACGATATATATTTCCAAATGTTAGAAGCCATGTCGATATTAGAGAAAATGCAACTTTTACGCAATAAGAGCCAACGACGAGCAAATTCTACACATTGCCATTGAATTCCAGTATATATACCATAAAGGTAATTTTTTCGAAATAAATAAGTTCCATGATTTGAGTACGCTGGAACATTCGTAGATGCGACACCTTGAATTCCACTCGATGGAGCACGTTTATAGGATGCTCCATTTCCCATTTTGTCTATGGTATACAAGAAAAAGCTTCCAGTGCGATGATTCCTATAAGATTAAAATAAAAAGCGATAGAAACAGTCAAATTGTGTCTATAGATTCTGTTTAGATTGATGAAAACTCGTGACCATGTAAAAATAAAGCGTGTTGACAAGTTTGTCGCGATCTATGCGGCAAGTCAAAAAATAGTGGCTCACTATGTTCTAGGACATTCATTAACAAAATGTATTTCCTATATGATAATTACCATATTCGACAACGATCTGTGATCCTAATCGAATTATATATCATACATCTATTCTTTAGAAATGAGTTCAACAAAGGAAAGTTGCATTAGTTTTCACTGACCTGTTGATAGTATTCAATATACAAAATTTTGAATCGTTCTCTATCAGTTGTCTTTGATGATTATTAAAATTCGTGCTATGCTCTTCAACAACGAATTAATTTAACTGTCAGTTACACGGAATTTACGTGTATAGAAAATTTCAAATAATCAAGAAAACAACAAAAATAAATCATGATGATGGTGAAGCAATATAAACTACAGAACAGTTCTGTTGACTTTCTTTGTGAAAAGTCGAGCAAAATTTTTTTCATGCTTCCATATTTCTTTCTTTTGTACGGCGAGCACGTGAAGAAAAACAGCATCACACACATGTCTATTACATATGTTGTACAAGATTAAAAAGTGTCTATGTAATAGGACCTCTGAACATTTAATCACATGGAAGACTACAATTGCAATTGGGCAAATATGTTGCTAAATTCAGATAATTAACGTAGAATAAATTTTTTCAACAACATTATTACTTTATATACTATTACTAGAAGATGCGAGCCGAAGCAAATTGGATAATTCGTGTAGACAGTCAGAATTTATTACTGATTAGTAGATGTGAAAATATGAACATCGTTTTCTCTAGAATGAAAACAATCACAATAAAACAGATATTAAAAATTGAGTTGCACAAAAATCGAGTAACTAATTGGATTTCTTATAGCTCAGTTAGAACCTAGAAGACTAGAAATCGATTCTGACAGGTCAAATCTCAGTGCCGATTCTCCAACTAGATTTTTAAAAAAATGCACGATAGACAAAACGAGAAGTACTTCGATTACCATGGCTATTCGTTGAGAAGTAGCTAACATAGGAACTCCTTTTCCGTCACAGAACGACATATAGCATCGAAATTTTTGGAACATTAAGGGCTAATCATGGTCCTAGCGTCACCGAATTCTATGTTTCCTATAAAGTGTTTGCTGATTTTCGTTAACATTCGATGCACTCATTGAATTCAATCTGAATTCTAATCTGTATAAAAGAGATCATTTTTCCGTATACGCGCTGCAACCTTTTCAAACTGTTGATTTTATGATAGATCAGAGATGAGCATCAGCTATTTAAGTATCTGCATAGCTATTTAAGTTTTCTATAGCTATTTAAGTATTCCAAAACTTCCTATTTTGAAATACTAAAGAAGTCCATTGTCACTTATAACATCAAAGTCTCTGATTTGCAAGTACTTAATCTTGAGAACAATCAGTTCAAATTTAAAATAAACAAATCAGATAATTCATGTCTACCATCTGAAGATAATCTTAAAATTTTGAATACAATTAATCACTATCTAAACACATGTTTTACTCTTAACACCCACTCAAAACTGTTTCACGAATGAAACGAATTAATTAGTTTACAAACTAACAGAAAAACCTATCCAAATCTTACAGAACACGAAATACAACAATATATATACCATTGGTTCAAAAACTAATAACATCTAATAAAAATCATCAAGATTACATTCACACATGTGCTTGTGGCAACTACACTAATGACTTACTATTTTTCGACATTGGACGCAACTAACGATATTGCCCACGAAAAAGCTCCAATCATCAAAGTACCACTGTAGCAGTTATTGTTCACATAAAAGGATTCATATATACTATTCGTTGTAAAGATCCTCAATGTCATGATAAAACTTTGATTTGGAACGCAATTGAATGAATCTATCTTTTGATTTGTCAATAAAAATTAAAGAACCTTTTGTACTTTGACAAGAGTGCAATCTTCTCAGTATCGCATAGTTCGAATACAATACATTAGATATACTTCCCAACACAACGCATAAACATAACAGAAAACAACCATACAAAAAGAACATTCCTATTATATATCTGAAGAACTCAAATCCTGAAACACAATTATAATAAACGAGTATAGTATACTCAAATAGCTACTACTGTAACAAAAATCATAAACAATATCATTAACTGATGCCTTAGATACAGACTCCGTTTCTCGAAACAGTAGTGAGACACAAATAACTGCAATCCATTTCTACGGTTGTCAAGGTTTCTAGACCGCTATTGTATATTTACCAGTACACCAACTGAAAAACCTAAAAAGAACCATGCAGCTATATTACAATTTTCTTTTTTTATCACATTCCTCTTGCTCTAACAGGTAAGTAAATGGAAGAAAGTCATGTATCGTGAGCTCAATTGCGACATCAATTCTATTCAATGCTTTTGCCAGCTATTCCAACTGCTTCAATCTGATGATTTGGCTATACTAGTACTGATAAAAATCACAATCTGAAATGAGGATGTGGGTGTGAGTGTAGATATGTGGATCTGGATACGTGTCAAGGGGATCACACCCACATCCGCTTGACCCTCCGTACAGTCGAGGGAACAAGCTAAGTTCTTTGTTGATAGACAAAAGCATTGAAGCGCTGGGTTGTCCTCATCTCTTCCCAGACGGTCATAGTTCATTCGAATGAAGAACTAGTCATCAAGTTGACGTGGAAAGAATTACTAGCCGTTTTACACTAAAATCATTTCAAGATTAGAGTTGTCAGAGACATTCTTATTATGTCAACTTCGGATGTTAAAAGACCATGATGAACTTTACAACACAGTATTTAGATTGAGGAAACAATCCCTATATTGATCTGAAGTGTCGAAGTATGGAGTTGACGGTATGATTCAGCTGCCAACTCAGAAGCATGTCCAGCGAAGTCATCAATAAGTTCCTCTAAAAAGTTTCTTTAAACTGTACCTGTCTCAGTTGTTCACGTTGAATACGAATTTGAAGTCAATTTTTGAGTTTGAATTATGTAGGATAGCTTCAAGGCCAAAGACCGATTTTCACTGATTGGATCACTCGGCAGTATGGTGTCTACTAACTTGACCTCTTATTTGTTTACTCTCGATATCTATATTCCAGAAGATATGTCTTGAAGAGATCAATGTTTGATAAAAAAGTCATGGGATCTCCAAATCACCTTATGAAAAGGTCAAAATACTGCTTTTTCCGATAGGTGCTTTCTATATTTTGAACGGCATCTTATATGTGGCATTTCCACACAGAATGACAGTATCAATCAAATTGAATGGTTTTCTAGCCTATGAAGGGCTCTATCTATATAAACGCCTCCCAGCTTAAATTGCCCAAGTGTCCCAGACATGCTATGAGGGTGAGGGTTATTCGAAAAACAGACTGACATATCTCTTGACGTAGAAAAGATAAGTTCAATCTGCTGATCTCAACTTTTGCTTGACAGTGATAGATTAAGTCGAAAAAATAGGTCAAAATTGAAGTGATGTATTTGTAAATGAAGATAGATGCAGTGCTAAATTCGCCAACGGGTTTCGTGTTATTTATTTAAAAACTTATCAGAATTCTGCATTACAAATAAGCACAAAACAGAAACAAGGAAAGGGAACACACGACATAAGAAGGA